GAGAAGGAGGACGGGCGAGGCTAGAGACGAGAGGAGGAGGAGGAGGAGGAGGAGGAGGAGGAGGAGGAGGAGGAGGAGGAGGAGGAGGAGGAGGAGGGAGGAGGAGGAGAGGAGGAGGAGGAGGAGGAGGAGGAGGAGGAGGAGGAGGGAGGAGGAGAGGAGGAGGAGGAGGAGGAGGAGGAGGAGGAGGAGGAGGAGGGGGGGAGAGGAGAGCAGAGAGAAGCAGAGAGAAGCAGAGAGAAGCGGAGGAGGAGGAGGAGGAGGAGGAGGAGGAGGAGGAGGAGGAGGAGAGGGAGACGAGAGAGAAGAGATCAGCAGGAGGAATAACAGGATATAATAATAGGAGGAGGAGGAAGAGGAGGAGGAGGAGGAGGAGGAAGAGGAGGAGGAGGAGGAGGGGAGATGAGAGAGAAGATATAAGCAGGAGGGAGGGGAGGAGGAGGAGGAGGAGGAGGAGGAGGAGGAGGAGGAGGCGGAGGAGGAGGAGGAGGAAGAGGAGGAGGAGGAGGGGCGAGAGGAGAAAGCAGAGAGCAGAGAAGGAGAAGTAGGAGGAGGAAGGGGAACCCAGGGATTTGTTTTTCTCCCTCCCCTTGCTCCCTCCCCTCCTCCTGCTCCCTTCATCTCCCTTCTCTCTTTCGTGCCGCGTCTCCCTCATGGAGGCCCGCGGTCGCGGCACTCGCGCAGCATGCCTTTGTCTTCTCTGGCCCCTTGTCGTGCCTCGTTGTCCTTCGGATCAGTCTCTGCCCTCTCTTGGACGGCCTGGGTCGCTGGTCGCGGTCGTACCCAGCAGTCGGGGCGCCGTGCAGAAGTAGGGAGCACCTGGGGTTCGGACTGGGCCCCGTGCTCCTGAGGCTCTTGCCTCAGGACTCCAGCAGAGCGTATCCACCAAACTTGGGATCCGATAGGTACCCGGACTCATTACCTATTCGAAGTCCCTCCTATCGGGGAAGCGAACACATGGATTCAGGCGCGTGGATTCGCCACGCACAGTTTGGATCGCGGAGGCCTGCGCAACAGTTGGATCTGGGCCGCCAGGTCTCAGGTCAATCATTAGTTGCTCGTGCGCATGGGTGTGTGTGCCGAGCACCCCGTAGAGTTCTCTCATAGCCCCGTTTCTACTCGATGCTCGGGGCGCTCTGTTCAAACTCGCGTGGGGTCAGCAAGGGGCGGGAAAGGATGGCGTTCTCGGAGCGGCAGGGGCCCGGGACGTTGTCTGCGGTGCGCTTCCATGGCATCTCGTCTCTTGCCATCATTCGTGTTGCTTCGTTCTTCGCGCAGCTCTTTCTGTTTCCCACGGGCGGATGCACAGGTGGACTGCCGCAACAGTGACCTGCTCATCACCACGACTGTCTCGATCGTCGCCATCACCACGCTGGTCGTGGGCACTGCCATGGAGAAGGCCGCCGCACTGCTTGCGGACGGGTTGGCTGGGCTTGGCCGGAGTTCTGGCCGAGGCAATTCTTCGATCGGCAGCGGTGCTTCACAAGACATGGATCAACTTCTCGGGCCAGGTCGGCAGTTTCCTCGCAGCGCCCCAGCATCGGCTGCTCACCGGGCGGGGGGGCTAGGACAGGGGCTAACTTGTGCCAGGGCGCCCTTGAGCGCCCTCAGAGCGTTCTGGAATGCTCCGAGAAGGCCGCCGCGCCCGATGCTTCCTCCGGAACCGACGGAGCTCAGAGATCCCTGGCTTGGCCCCGTCCGATGTCGTCCCCGTCCGATGTTGTCCCTGCCCTGGCTCTTCGTCTTACGGCGGGCGGGCGACCCGCGTGTGGCCCTGCGGGCAGCCCCGCCTCGGCGGGCAGCGGGGGCGGCGTGCGCCCCTGGGTCGGCAGCTGGTCTTCGGGCCGTTCCTTTCCTGATCCCCGTCGGGGAATCCAACAAGCGAGGAGGACGGCGAGGAGGGGAAGGACGAGGAGAGGGAGGACGAGGGGGAGGAGGAGGAGGGCGACGAGGAGGGGGGCGAGGAGGGGGAGTGAGGAGGAGGAGGGCGAGGAGGGGAGGGACGAGGAGGGGGAGGACGACGTTTACTGCCAGCCGAGAGCTTTGGGGGGGGAGGAGGCGTGCAGCATTGAAAGACCTTTCGCGGCTGGTCGTGGTCGAGGCTCGCCGTGGCCCGACAAGGCCCCTCCGCCCCCTACAGTCAACCCGTATACTAAGGACGCACGAAACAGTGGGGGCGCTGAAGAAGGAACTCTTTTCATTGGGGAGGGGCTCCGTGCTCCTTAATTGTTTCACAATTTGCCTCAGGTTGTCCTGAGGTTCTCGATGGGAAGTCGAAGTTTAACTTCTGGAGAAAACGGGCCTCGTTAAGGATGCAAGGGCCTTGGAGGGCCACGTCGGCACTTTACGGGCGGGGCGCGGCCAGCGAGAGCGGCCAAGGATGGGCCGAAGGGGAAGGATGCAAGGGCAGCTTGGAAAATTGCTCGTCTTTGCTGCGCGGGTTGACTCTATTGCGAAGGCCTTACGGCCGGTGCCGCCGACCCTGAAGATGAGGACGCTGATCACGACGAGGTAGAAGGAGGAGAAGGAGAACGAGCAGGGGGAGGAGCCGCAGGAGGAGGAGGAGGAGGAGGAGGAGGAGGAGGAGGAGGAGGGGCCCCCAGGCCCCTCGGCGCTGGCTGGCAGAAGCTGTGCCTGCGGCGGCCAGCGGAAGTATCTTCCCCGCGGAAGTGGCGCCTTCTTTCTCCCCCACCCTGTTCCCGCCCCCCGGCCGGCGGGGCGCGGGGTCCTGGGAATGTTGTTTGGGTGTCCTGTCGTGGTGTCCCGATGGTGTCCTGTGTGCATGGGGGGTCCGGCACCCCCACCCAGATGGCGCGGCGTTGGCCCCCCAGCTGACGGCGTGGTGCCGGCGTCCGCGTCTGGCGCGACGGCATTGGCGGAGGGCGGCCACCTTCTCCCCGTCCCCCCCCCCGCTCGGGCGGCGGCGGCGGTCGGGTTGGCGCCCCTTCTTCCTCTGGGGGGGGGGTTGGGGGGTCCTCGAGTCGAGGCTCAGGCTCGGCGCTGGCATGCATCATCACAACTGCCCCAGCGGCCGCTGAGCAGGCGCAGAGGGTTCGCAGGCGGCAAGGCCAAAGGACGCCTACCGCATTTCCGTGTCATGGGTGTTGCAGGGTCGGCTTGCAGGGTGTTCCAGGGGCAGGGGATTGCTGGGTTTTGCAAGGTCGTGGAGTCGGCTTTGCAGGGTATTGCAGGGTGTGCGGCGAGGTCCGGGGGAGAGGGTAGGGAGAAAACTTCTATTAGGAAGCTGAAAGAAGAAGTGCTCCAGACCACCTCCACCTGGAGGGCTGGTGGGATTGGAGCTGGCGTGGTCGCCGAGTTCGGCAACATCCGGGGCCCGGGAGGGGCCCCAGACCCTCGTGATCCTCGCCTTCGCCTTTGCGATCGCTGCCGGCGCCGAGCATATGTGATGCCGGATCGAGGGTTAAAAAGGTCCCCTCAGATGGCACGGGTCCCAGGGTTCCACAGCCCCCCCCCTCCCAGATGGCATGGGTCCCAGGGTTCCACAGCCCCCCCCCTCCCAGATGGGGTGGGAGAGAGACGACGATGACGACGACGACGACGACGACGGCGACGACGACGACGACGACGACGACGACGACGAGGACGACGACGACGACGACGACGACAACGACGATGACGATGACGACGACGACGACAAAGACGACGACGCCGACGCCGCCGACGGCGACGCCGACGCCGACGACGCCGCCGACGCCGACGCTAACAGCGACGACGCCGACGCCGACGCCATCGACGACGACGGAAGACGACAACGCCGACGCCGCCGCCGACGCCGACGCCGACGCCGACGAAGGCGACGACGCCGTCGTCGTCGGCGTCGACGGCGGTGGCGTCGTCGGCGTCGGCGTCGCCGACGGCGACGACGCCGACGCCGATGCCGACGCAATCGACAACGCCGACGTCGACGCCGACGCCGATGCCGACGACGACGACGACGCGGATGCAACGCCCACGCCGACGCCGACGCACGCAACGCCGACGCCGACAACGACGACGACGACGACGACGACGCCGAGGCCGACGCTGACGCCGACGCCATCGACGACGACGGAAGACGACGACGACGCCTACGCCGACGCCGACGACGACGACGCCGACGCCGACGCCGACGCCGACGCCTACGCCGACACCGACGCTGACGCCGACGCCGACGCCGACGCCGACGACGAAGACGACGACGAAGATGACGACGATGACGACGGAAGACGAGGACGACGACGCCGACGAGGACCACGACGACGGCGACGACGCCGACGACGACGACAACGTCGACGACGATGACGACGCCGACGCCGACGCCGACCACGACGACGACGGCGATGACGATGACGGCGACTTCGACGCCCACGCCGACGCCCACGCCCACGCCCACGCCCACGCCGACGCCGACGCCGACGCCGACGCCGATGCCGACGCCGACGCCATTGCCGACGACGACCACGTCCACGACGACGACGACGACCACGACCACGACGACGACGACGACGACGACGACGACGACGACGACGACACGAACACCGATGCCGACGACGACGACGACGACGGCGGTGACGACGACGAAGACGCCGACGCAGACGTAGACGCCAACGCCGACGCCGACGCCAACGCCGCCGCCGACGCCGACGCCGACGACGACGCCGACGCAGACTCCGACGCAGACGACGCCGACGCCGACGCCGACGGAAGATGCCGGCGACGACGACGAAGGCGACGACGCCGACGACGGCGACGGCGACGGCGACGACGACGACGACGACGCCGACAGCGACGACGACGACGACGACTACGACTACGACGACGACGACGAGGACGTCGACGAGGACGACGACGACAACGACGACGACGAGGACGACGACGACGACGACGGCGACAACGACGCAGACGTAGACGACAACGCCGACGCCGACGCCGACGCCCACACCGACGCTGACGCCGACGCCGACGCCGACGCCATCGTCGACAAAGGCGACGCCGACGACGACGCCGACGCCGATGCCGACGCAATCGACGACGACGACGACGCCGACGCCGACGCCAACGACGACGCCGACGATGATGACGACGACGACGTCGCCGACCACGACGGCGCCAGCGCCGACGCCGACGACGACGACGCCGACGCCGATGCTGACGCCGACGCCGACTCCGACACCGACGACGGCAGACGACGACAACACCGATGCCGATTCAACGCCGACACCGACGTAGACGCCGACGCCAACGCCGACTCCGACGCCGACGCTGACGATGAAGACGTATATTACGACGACGACAACGACGACGATGCCGACGCTGACGCCGACGCCAGAAGAAGACGACGTCGACGACGACGATGACGTCGACGATGACGACGACGACGCCGACGCCGACGACGACACCGACGCCGACGACGACGACGAAGACGAAGACGAAGACGAAGACGAAAACGACGACGAAGACGAAGACGAAGACGAAGACGAAAACGAAGACGAAGACGAACACGAAGACGACGACGCCGACAACGATGACGACGTAGACGCATACGCCGACGATGAGGACGACGACGACGATCACGACGATAACGACTCCGTCGACGACGGCGACGACGCCCGACGCCGACGCCGACGCCGACGCCGACGCCGATGCCGACGCCGCCGCCGACGCCGACGCTAACGACGCTGACGACGACGACGACGAAAACGACGACGTCGACGACGACGACGTCGACGATGACGACGAGGACGCCGACGCCGACGCCTACGCCGACGACGACGCCGACGCCGACGACGACGCCTGCGCCGACGACGACGACGATGACGTCGACGACGACGACGACGCCAACGCCGATGCCGACGCCGCCGACGACGACGCCGACGCCGACGCCGATGCCAGCAACGACGACGACGAAGACGAAGACGAGGACGTCGACGACGACGACGACGACGACGACGCCTACGCCAACGACGACAACGGCGACGACGAGGATGCCGACGCCGACGCCGACGGCGACGCCGACGCCCACGCCGACGACGACGCCTACGCCGACGTAAACGCCGACGTCGAGGCCGACGCCGACGCCGACGCCGACGACGACGGCGACGGCGACGACGACGCCTGCGCCGACGACGACGACGACGACGCCGACGCCGATGCCGACGCCGGCGCTAACGCCGACGCCGACGCCGATGCCGACGCCCACGCCGACGCCGACGCCAACGATGACGACGACGAGGACGAAGACGACGACGTCGACGAGGACGATGACGCCTACGCCGACGACGACAACAACGTCGACGACGTCGACGACGACGCCGATGACGACGACGACGACGACGCCGACGCCGACGCCGACGCCGACGCCGACGCCGATGCCAACGCCGACGCCGTCGACGACGCCGACGCCGACGCCGACGATGACGTCGACGCCGACGCCGATGCCGACGCCGATGCCAACGCCGGAAGAAGACGAAGATGACGACGGCGACGACGACGACGACGAAGACGAGGACGACGACGACGACGACGACGCAGGAAGACGACGTCGACGACGTCGGCAGAAGACGACGTCGACGACGACGACGTTGAGAATCCCAGACCAACAGAGGGAGTGAAGGGCACCAGCACCCACCACCACGTCACGTCCACAGGGGGGGAGCGATCCCATTCGCGAGGCCCTGCGACCTTGGTCTCGGATAGCTTTCGGCGAGAGCAGCGGAATGTCCACCCTCCAACACGCCACGCCACGCCGACAGGGCCATGACCACAGGGGGGGAGGCCAGCGATCCCATTCGTTAGGCTTCTGCGAGGCTCACGTACCCTTGCAGCGGGGGGCGAGGGGGGGCAACCCTGGATCATGTATGCCCGCGCGCCGTACCATCCGATCTGATGTCGTGGAGATGCTACAACGCCACGACAAAGCACATGACCAGAGCCGTCGGCCCCGTCCTCATGCAGGATTTTCCGAGCAGGGCAGATTTCGTGAGGGCCCAAGGGGACCGAGAGCACGTTCGGATCAGGCTCTCGCGGCGAACCTGGCCGTGGCGACTTGGGATCAGCCCCGCGACTCATGCCTGAACCCCCCAACCCCCTTGGCCGGATTTCTTTTCTTCTTTCCGCGGGGGTCAACCTTCGCGGCGACCCGTTAAACTTGGGACCACTGGCGGCGCATGGAATTATTTGTTTATTCCGCGCGCGAATTACCATTGGAAGCCCTGAACCCCTCCGACTACCGTACAACTAGTGCTTGAGTACGACTGGTACTATCATGTGCTAGCGCGCAGTTGCTCCCAGAGAGCACATTGTCCTGCCGTGCGAGTATTAGAGTGCCGTGCAAGTATCACTGCGCCAGAAAAACTCCCTGGCGCAACTCCGTAGTGCAATTCCCTAGTACAATGCCCTAGTACAACTCCCTGGATCAAGTGGTACTAGTGCAACTCCCTAGCACAACCCCCTAATATTAGACAACTCCCTAGTGCATCTCCCTAGTACAACTCCCCAGTGCAACTCCCTAGTGCAATTCCATTCGTGCAACTCCCTGTGCAACTCTCTAGTTCTAATCCAACTCCCTAGTACAGCTCCCAGCAGGACTCCCTAGTACAACTCCCTTTTACTAGCACAAGTCCCTAGTGCAATCACTTTTAGAGTGTTGCTGCATTGCACTTACAATCTGGGCTCTCACGCTTTTCCTCCTCTGGTTGCGCTGGCGGGGTGGGACCCCTCGCACGGGCACCCCCGCGGCTGAGAATTCATTCTTATTCCGGAATGTGAGGCGGGGGTAACCCCCATGCTCGAACTCCTCGCCTGGATTTTTTCGTTCCTCCGCGGAAACCGGACCCCCTGGGTTCCTGGGCGCGCCCCAGAAAGTCTTTCCTTCTGGTTTGGCCCCCATGGGTCCTTCCTTGGAGTCGCGGGGCTGATGACGTGGGCCCCCTGAGAAGCCTAACAGAGGCAATCAAGCTTCCCCTCCTCGTCGTCGTCGGCCTCGCCCTCCTAAAAAGCCCGCGACGAAGAAATAGAGCTGCCGTGAGTTCGGCTTGTGGGCACGGCACTGTGCTGTTCAGCAGACTTCGACGACAGAGGCTTCAGCAAAAACAACAACCCGCGACGAAGAACTGGTCCTGGGGGTGGGGTCGAGAGCCTCGGTCACCCCCAGAGGCGCGAACATAACTGCGCTTCGCGCGTCGCGGTCTTGGTCAGACCGGCTGCCCTTCCCCAAGGGGCGGCGCTTGGGTGCGAGAGCGCGAAGATGACCGCGCTTCGCGCATCGCCAGGCGCGATGCGAGAGCTTTGGTGGTTACCCAGGGAGCTCCAGGCCTCTGCCCCGTATCGTCTGAAACCGCTCCGTCGGAGGTCACAAGCTCCGATGGCACTGGCGCCGAGTTCTAAGCCGTCGGCGTCGAGGTGCGAGGGCTCCGGCGGCTCTGGGCTCGTCTCTGGCACCGGGGGCTCCGTCTATACACCAACAGACACCAGCAGATCGGCTGCACGTAAGAGTGACCTCTCGCCGGGGTGACCTTTGGTGTGGGCCCAAGGGGGCCCCCCGATCGCTGTAGCGGCTTGTGCGCCTGGTGATGTCCAAAAGGGCCCCCGCTTAGGCCGCGCACCAAAAGCCACTCTTGGCTAGGGTGACTCTTGCGTGTAGCTGAGCATATACCAGCATGTGGTGGCTGCATCTCTATGTCATGTTCTTCCGCGCCGTGCGCATTCGGAACATGCTGATCCTGAGACCGCCCCCGCGCGAGTTCCTGGGGCGCGGTCCGCCGACGTTATCGCGAGAGGCGGGAAGTCCCGCAGTGGTCGCGTCAGCCTCAACGGGACTCGGTAAACCCTCCGTCCTCCTCCCACCCCTCCTCATCAGTGACCTTAGTCCTGCATCCAGATCCCCAGCCAGAGAGACTTATGGTTCTGACCGGCCCCTGCTGCCGCCTCTGTGCGACTGCCCCCCGAAGCGCCTTTGCTTTTACCCCTCGTCGTCATCGTCGTCGTCATCCTCCAGTCTGGGGCCATCAGTAATCATTTCAGGTCGAGCCATTTTTCATCGGGCCGCTGAATCTTGACGTTATGACGTTAAGTTCATATGTTGCACCTCTTGCTTGGCTGGCAATGTTTCGCCCGGTTCGTTACCGTGCCTCCCTCTCCGCAGGCTTGCGACATCCATATTCGACTCTTTCCGCGCGCGCGCCGCCACATCGCGCTGCCGTCATCTGCATTCGTAAACGCCCTCAGTGTGCACATCACGACGTTGAAATTCAGCATACACTAGTTTTCCTGTTGGGCCTCTGAAGGGGACGAATTGCGGAGAGGGTTTGGCATCTTTGGCAGGCAGTCTCCGTGCATAATTGGACATGCCAGTGCAACACACGGTTGTTTTTCTGGGTTGCGCGTGCTTGAATCAAGACGCCACCGCAACCAGGACGAATAGGACTTGCGTCGCATGGGTATGGGATTCAGCGCAAGGATTTTCGTATGTCGCCACGCCATTTATTCAGCTCGCGGCCTTGCGTCTCTGGGAGGGCGCCGCGGGCGCCAGGACAAACGCCGCGTCGGACACGGTGGGCGTGCCGTGGGGTTTGCAGCGATTTCGGCTGCGTCTGCTTGGGCGCGGGGCGCATGGTTTGCCGTGGGTTTGCCGTGGTGTTGACGTCGTCCCCTCTGCGTGGCGACATATGCATCGGACGTGTGTTTTCATTTCTCTGTGGAGTCAAGCAAACACTTTCTTTCATAGTTTCGGACCCAGCTGCTCTTCGACAGTCCGACTCTGATTCTCCATGCCCCATGCGCGTATACGTCAGCGGGCATGACCTTCATTTCGCAATCGGCTCATGTGGCGAGCAGTCAGCCGCAAGTGGTCATCATCCTCAACGGCATGGCAAGGAAAACGTTGAGGGCTGGTCCGATGCCTTGAAGCACGTACTCAGGATATCTAGACACAGATCAGAAAACCGTTGCAAGCACATCGGGCAGCCTTCTGTCACAGGTGACTGGACGAGAGCAGCACTAAATAAATATGCGCCTCATGTGATGGAAACCGCTTGCAATGGTGTATCGCGCGCTGGCTTCAGACCCTCAGATCGCGGAGATTGGCTTAGGACTGCGGCTTATGCTTTCGGGAAAGTGACGCATCCAGAGGCAATTATCAACACCTTGCGAATAGGTGTTGCGTTCATCGCACAAGGTGTGGTGCACGTCGAGCCCCAGACGATTGGATCAGCAACGAGACCTGCGCGGAATGCAAGAGTACCTAATTCTGTTAGGTGCCTTCGTGGAAGGTGTCCGCGGTTCAGCTTCGGTTCATCGAATCGTTTCGGAGGGGCGAGCGTTCGGACGCAGCATTTGAAACATCTTTGCTCGCGCGCTATACACCGCGCGGTAGCTGTATCCAGAATTACGATTTGACCTACGACCTGCACGTATGACACTCGTACTCCTAATCTGTCCTTCAGCTCGTTTCATAGCTAGCCTCCTTGGGCTGCCCGGGCGCGCCGGAAACGATTTTTGCAACATTGAACGCCTCAGGTTGCCAGAGTTTGGCCTCTGTCTTTATACTTGTTCGGTTATTATGTTTGATATATTCCTCCTCCGCTTGCTACTCATCCTCCTGCCGCTGTTCATCCTCTTACCAATCCCTCTCGTTCCTCTCCTGTCTCCATCGTCCCGTTTTGCCGTCTCGGTAGTTCCGTCGGTCCTTGCTGGTCTATTCGGGCCCTCGTTTGCCATCGTCTTTGGCCCCCTCCCCTCCTCCTCCCTCCCCTCCTCCTCCTCCCTCCCCGCTTTGTTGCCTCCCTCCCTCCACGTTGGACTCCATCTCCTCGCCTCCTGGTCTCCTCCCTCCTCCCTCCCTCCCCGTCCTCCTTCCCCCCCTCTGCCCAACTTTGGCGTCGGACTGCAGGTAATGATGGCGCTCAACGTCATCGAGCCGATCGAGTGAGCCCCCCCCCCCGCCACAAAGGGCACACGACGTCGCTAGTGCTTCAGAAGACGGTTTCCAAGAGGTCTGGACCCCATCCCGAGGACCAGATTTCCGTCCTGAGTCGTATTTGACGGCCCCAGGGCTTGATAGGGGGCCCCGGAGGCCGCAGACGGCAACAACAAACCACCCGTCGTGGTTTTCGTCACGACGCGAGGAGCTCAAGGAAGGGGAGGGGGAGGGTCCACAGAGAGCCAAACGACACCGCCCCGCCTACGACCCGCTGGGTCGCAGGTGGGTCGCAGGTGGGCAGGTGTCGTAGGTGGGTCGTAGGTGGTCGTAGTTTGACAAGCGCCTAAACTTTCAACATCGCTGGGTCGTAGGTAGGACCAACGAGGACCAGAGGGCCCAGAGGGAGGACCAACGAGGACCAGACGACAGACTTCCACCCTGGCCTTCGCCTCTGGGCCATGCCAGGTCGCCCGGTGTGCTCTGTCGCCCTCGGCCCCGCGGCCCGCTTGGCATGGGCCGGTGGCGGGGGCGCTCCAGGTCGGGAGCGGATTCCTTCCCTCGTGGTGGGGGAGGAGGAGGAGGAGGAGGAGGAGGAGGAGGAGGAGGAGGAGGAGGAGAGCCGCGTTCGATCCGAGCTCCGAGGCCGACAGCGACAGCGACAGGGGGGAGTCGGAAAACTGGGCGCCTGCGAGAGGGGGAGAGGGATGGACGGAGCGGCGGCCGCTGCAAGGTCAGGGGTCAGAGGAGCAGAGTGTTACAGAGTGTTGCCCGACCTCGGCTCTATCCAGGCGGCGCCAGGCGTGCTCGGTGCACGCGCCTGGACCTCTGGGCCAAGTTGGGCATGCGCCCTGGGCCGCTTCGGCGATTCAGCGATTCAACAGCTAGGTCCCCGCGGGGGCGCAAAGAGAATCGCGCTTCGCGCGTCGCGGCCTGGACCAGAGAGCTGCTTTTCTTGAAGGTGGCCTGGCGAGGGCGCGAATCTACGCGCGAGGCCCGCATCGCGGGGCGCGATGTGCGAAGTTAGGTGACCTAGCTAGAAATGAGTGCGTCCACTCGATCGGGGTTCACTGGTCCTCCCCATTCCCAGCAACCATGGCCTGTGATCACCGTCGTGGCATCATCTCATCCTAGGACCTTCTCTGACAGGTCACGGTGCCTCGTGGCGTGGGCAGCGTGGGAGGGAATTCGAAGAGGAGGAGGAGGAATAGGTTAAGGACGAGATGCAGATATGGGAACGATGCTGCTGCTGATGATGCTGATGATGATGCTGGTGATGATGATGCTGATGATGATGCTGATGATCGTGATGATGATGGTGGTGATGATGATGATGGTGATGATGATGATGATGATGATGATAATGATGATCATGATGACGATGACGATGATGATGATCGTGATGATGATGATGATGATGATGATGATGATGATGATGATGATGATGATGATGATGATGATGATGATGATGATGATGATGATTATGATTATGATGATGATGATGATGATGATGATGATGATGATGATGATGATGATGATGATGATGGTGGTGGTGGTGGTGGTGGTGGTGGTGATGATGGTGGTGATGGTGGTGGTGGTGATGATGACGATGATGATGATGATGATGACGGTGGCGATGGGTTCGAGGAGAAGATGACGGACGGAGGCGGCAGGGGAAATGGCACATTGTAAACATGATGGTGATATTTAGACGGACGATACTGACATTGATGATCACGAGGACGGTGGGAATGATCGAGTCACGATGTGTCGCTAAGCTATGGCTGCCGACTACTCATTCGAGTCCACGATGCGTCGCCGATGCTGGTGAGGGGGCTCGACCAATTCATTATGCATCTCCGAAGGCGACTGCTTAGTCCGCTGATGAGATCTGGCTCAATCGGCTTGATTGCCCAGGCGATCCAGTCGATTCTGGACGGCCAAGGTAGGCAGCAAGTTTCCAGGAGCTCCCCATGAGGTTCCCGAAGTGCCAGGAGTTTCCAACACGGAGGGGCAACCTGCACGTCTCGTCAAAGATGCGCGGAAGCGCAAGGGAGTTCGACGTATGGGGCTCTATCTTCTCGAGAGTTTGTAGCAGCGTGCGTTCCGTAGTGCTGAGAGGTGCGGAGGCGGCGGATTTAGGTCGCCCCCGCGCGCGGGGAAAGCGGCCTGGTGCCAGCACTGGAGCACGGTGTAGCGCTGCCCTTGCAGGTGTCGATGCCAAGAGCCTCCTGCCCACTTTCGACGATGGTCGTACAGTCGAGGCTGATTTGTAGGTCGACCTTGCCACATCAAGGGTACCCTTGTGTCCTGCGCTTCGCGGCCCATGCCTTCTGCATTCCAATGGCAATGTGGTTCTCGGAAGTGTCTTGCGTCCTGTCGCGTGCCCTCTCCAATCAACCCCGACTGTAGGTCGCTCGCGGGGGCGCGAGGGCAACTGCGTTGCGGCCTGGGCCGGGGAGCTGGCCTTCACCAGGGGGCGGCCCCGCGAGCGCGAAGACGGGCGCGCCTTGCGCAGCGCGAGAAGCGCGAGGTTGGATGGCCTAGGTCAGCCCAGGAGCGCGCCCCGTCGGCCACTGAAGCGGACGCCGACGACGCCGCCGCCGCCGCCGACGACGACGACGACGACGACGGAGGCGGTGGCGGCGGCGTGCACGGCCGCGGCGGTGATCGGCGCTTCATGCGCTTGCGATGTTTCAGAGAGGGCCTCGCCTTCGGAGCGCCTTCGCCTCCGGCGGAAGGCCAGCGGGAGCAGAGTGGCGGCGGCTCCGCCAGTGGGAGCCGGCGGGAGGTGGGCGGACGGTGGTGGGAGCACAGGCGAAGAGCCAACCTTCCGGCATGCAGGGTTTCCAGAATCGGCCACATTTACCCAACTTGGCCTCGCGCACCCGCGCGCGACAGGGGGGCGACGGACGGGCGAGGAGGAGGAAGAAGGAGAAAGAGGAGGAGGAGGAGGAGGAGGAGGAGGAGGAGGCCTCTCTGGCCCCAATGGGGCCAGGGCATGGCTGAAGAGCCTGGCCCTACAGTCGAAATCGATAGTAAGGATGGGCAGCCTTCTCAAGGGTACCCTTGCATCCTTGCCTCCTCGGTCCATCCTTAGCCCCTTTAGATTGGCAGCCCCGCTCGAAAAGCTTCGACATGGGCATCCAAGGGGCTTACATCTTTCTCGCGCATCCTTACTACAGCCAACCCGTATAGCAAGGACGAGCAGCTTTCCAAGGTTACCCTTGCATCCTTCCCCTTCGGCCCATCCTTGGCCGCTTTCGCTGGCCGCGCCACGCTCGCAAAGGGTCGACATGGCCCTCCAAGGCCCTCCAAGGCCCTTGCATCCTTACTGCGCGTCCTTCTTAATCATACGGGTTGACATGGCCTTCCAAGGCCCTTGCATCCTTACGTGCGTCCTTGTCGTATTGGTTGGCTGTACCACGGCCAGGGCCACGATAGCTCCCCAGAGCTCACGGCCCCCTCTTCTTCTCTCAGCACGTCCACCAGTCCTTCCGCCTCGTCTGCGCACGTGCCTCAGGCCATGCGTTGTGCCCCCGCTCCTAAACACTGAGATCCAGCGTCCCAGAAAGACATGCGGCATCACAGAAAGTCACGACCAGAGCCTTCGACCCAATCTCCCTCTCTCTGCGACATTTTTCGAGCTGGACTGGACCGCGAGGGCCCCTGGGGCACAACACAGGGCGAGATCGCCCGGTCCCCTCCCCCAAGAACAGACGATGACGACGACGACGACGACGACAACGACGACGACGACGACGACGACGACGACGACGACGACGAGGGCGGGGGGGGGCGGCCGATCGCAGCGGCGGGTACCGCCGCTGCTCCGATCGGATATAGCCAGGACCCCGGGTACGTAAGGGGAGCCGGTCAGTGATTGGGCCCCGAAGCCCCGCGCCAGGATCGCTGAACCATGAATGCCGCAGCTGGTCTTCTTGTTCGGGTGGACGGCAGTTCCGGTCCAAGTCCAGGGGAATGGGGCGGGGGAGGCGTCCCCAAGCACACGCGGTTGAGGGAAGCAAGTAAGCAACATTCCCCCATCCCCCACAATTCAAATTCGGCACGTTTACGCACTACCGCTGAGACATTCAAACTTGGAAGATCCGAAACCAACACTGCATTCGGGGGGACAGGGTGAGTGTTGCTTCATTGTTTGCGACACCTGCAGGTCCCACTAAACCCAGCCTTTCCAAGGCCCGATCCGAGGCCTCTCGGCGGGGTCTGCCCGCTTGTGCCGAGCGCCGCCGCCTCCGGTACCCCGCTGGGCGTCCGCGGCCGCCGCCCGTGCCGGCAGCAGGCCGTCTAGCAGCCTCGACACGCCGATGTCGACCCCGACCCTGGTGGGGCCGCGGGGGGGGGGGGTAGGTGCCTCCCTCCTTGTTTCCTCCTCATCCTCCTCCTCCTCTTTCTCCTCCTTTTGCTCCTGCTCCTGCTCCTCGCTCCTACATAGTCCTCTCCTCATCCTTCTCCTCGTCAGCCTCCTCCTCCCCATCCTCCTCCTCCGAGCACCTATAATCAGGGTTCTTTTGCTCGCCCCTTCGTTAGATTCCTCCTCTTCCTCCTCCTCAGCGTGCACTCCCGCGCGCACCCTCCTCCCTCCCTCCCGCCCGTGTGCGCGGGGGGGGGCAGGAGCGCGAGACTCATATAGATTCGTATTCCGGCACCAGCACCGTGACAAAAGAATGCGACCGGTGTGTGGCAGGTTCGCGTCGTGTCGACAGGCGGCGACTGCGCCGATGGCGTTCAGAGTTGAACGCCGCCAGCGACCCTGAATCGGTCGATGTTGAACGATCTGACGTTTCGGAAACGGCCGACCTTTCAAGGTTGAACGATCCCCGCGGTGTCAGAAACCAACGCCGAAGTCGGCGCGGCAAGAACCTGCCGTGCTGTGACCCGTTCGTTGCCGTATGCCTCAGCGCTCAGGCCTGGCACGTGCTGAAAGTATGTGTTGTTGAGCGGCTGCTGATCTGCAGTGTACAGTCAATGCGTATAGTTAGCAAGGGCGAGCAGCTTTCCAAGGGTACCCTTGCATCCTTGCCTCCTCGGTCCATCCTTAGCCCCTTTAGATTGGCAGCCCCGCTCGAAAAGCTTCGACATGGGCATCCAAGGGGCTTACATCTTTCTCGCGCATCCTTACTACAGCCAACCCGTATAGCAAGGACGAGCAGCTTTCCAAGGCTACCCTTGCATCCTTCCCCTTCGGCCCATCCTTGGCCGCTTTCGCTGGCCGCGCCACGCTCGCAAAGGGTCGGCATGGCCCTCCAAGGCCCTCCGAGGCCCTTGCATCCTTACCGCGCGTCCTTATGAATTGTACTGGTTGGCTGTATTCCCGATTGTTTGATGCTGCGGGCGGCACACGGCGCACAACAGGTATGCGCCATCACGCGGAGCATCGTTGTGGGGGCGGACGGAGGGCAGGCTAACGGAAGTGCCAGTGGATACGGCAAACTGGAGATCGAGGTCGGTTCGGGGAGGGTGTCCAAGTGTTCTTCGTGTTTGTTGGATGTTCCTGTGCTTCCTGGGGGAGGGTCTACCCTCGAATGTTTTTCAGTTTGGGCCGGCGGAGGGTCTCGTGTTCTTGACAGATATTACTATGTCCTCGGCCCGACCGTAAATCAGAGCAGGCCGAGTGGTCCTAACGGCGATGGGCACGGCATCGTCGCCACCGCTACGCGCAGCCTATAGCTTCTTGAGCCGTCGTGTTTGACACCATTGTCATCACCACCAGCAGCATCGCGGGAGCCGACATCACCTTCGTTCTCATCATGCATCTTGCCGTGCAGTTTGGTCCTTCTCCGCGCGCGCTTCTGAGAGCGCCCATCCTTCAACGCCCTTTCAAGCTTGCAGCACACATTCCCACAGTCATCTCGCCACGCTTTGGTACGATATGTTCGTGTCGTGTCGGCGTGGCCGCGACCCCAGCGCGGGCGTTCAAGGTTGAACGCCGCGGTTGGCCCTGAATCGGCCAATATGGCACGGCTTGGCGAGCAAAGAGTCGCCGTTTGTTGAAGTTTGAACGGTCCACGCCGTGCTGGACACCAACGCCAGGGTCGTCACCGCACGGACCTGCCGTGGCATTGAAGCGGAGCAGGGCGACCCGAAAAAACAAATTTCCTCCTCCCTCCCCTGCACGCCCGCTCCTCCTCCTCCTCCTCCTCCTCCTCCTCCTCCTCCTCCTCCTCCTCCTCCTCCTCCTCCTCCCCCTCCTCCCCTACGCGCCCCCTCCACCGATCCCCTTCTCTTCGTCCTCCTCCACCGTCTGGGGTGCATCTGCGTCGGCGTCACCTCGCCGCCCGAGGCAGCCGGCTCGTTCTCCGTCCCCCTGGCCTCCGACAGCGCCGGCGGCCTCGGCAGCCCCATCTTCGGCCCCGGGTGCGCCCGCTCGCCCCCATGCGCGCCGCGCGCGCCTGCGCGCGAGCTTGGGAGCGAGTGAGGGAGCGAACCACGCGAGCATGCCCGTCGGCTGCTCGGCCCTGTGCAGAGCATGGGCGTACAAGTCGGCTACCAGCCAGACAACAAAAATGATATTCGACTCCCAGCCAGAGCTTGGGAGCGTGCCGCGATTGTTTTTGTTACGGCATGGCCCGCGGGCTCGGCTGCTCCGGGGCAGCGATAGCGGGGGGGATAGGCATAGGGGGGGACGCATCGACCCCCAATCGCCCACTGATCGCCGATAGGAGCCTGGTAGCCCCAGCCTGCTCGGATTCACCATCGGGGGCCTATCGCCGATCTATCGGCGATGTATCGCCGATTCCAGGTCGATGGTTCCCCCTCATCTGCATGTCCCCCCCTATCGCTCCACCTCAGCTACACGCAAGAGTTCGGCCGAGCGCAGAGGGGGGTATGGGGGAGGAGGGAAGGCTTCTTGAAGCACCCCTGCTTCTGGGAAGGCGCGAGCCGCATCTGCAGATGTGAGGCCGGCACCTTCGAAGGAGCAGCCTCCTTCTGAGGAGCCGTCCTCCTTCCCCCTTACCCCCTTGTGCGCGCCGCCAAGGAGTGACCCTCCGCTGCAGTGACATTCTGGTGCTGGCCAAGAAGGGGGACCCGGACCGCCGACATTCGCCGACTGCCATGCGACAGCACCAGCTTGCGCGCCTGGATTTGGCCCCCTTGCAGACCCCAGAAGCCGCGCACCAAAGGTCGCTCTCGCCTAGGGTCTCCCTCGCGTGTAGCCGAGTGGGCGGCGAGGAAGGGTGGTCGCGAATCGGTGAATCGGGGAACAACAGTGGCATTATCGGCGCGGAGCGTACCAGGGGCGGCGCTGGAGGCGCCGCCAGGGGGGGTCCAGCGCCGATCCAAGAAATCTGTGCGGTCCTCTGAGCTGTTGTGTTTACGTCATCGCTCAGTTCTCTGCGGAAGGATGGGAGGGTCGGGTACAGCCAGGACCCCAGGCAAGGGGACCCGGCTTGTAGTAGGCCTCTGGGGCCCCTAACTTGGCCAGAATCACCAAACCAGGTCTGCCGTGGCTGGTGCTTTCTCGGGTGACGGCAGCTCCGGCTTGTGGAACGGGCGGGGGGGGCGTCCCCCCGCACGCGTCACTCCACCAGGTCCCACTAAACCCAGTTCCGCCAACGCCCGAGGGGGGGTCCCTCGGGGAAAGGGGCCCTGAGCCCCTGGGGCGCGGCGGCCACGGGGGCATAGGGGGGCCTCGGGAGGGGAGCGGGGCCGTGGACCCCGAGACGTCGCCCCAGGCTCAGCTCTCCGCCCCGAGTCGTGTTAGGGCGAGGAGGGCGGCATCTGGAGAAGGCAGGGCGCTTCTGAATTCCCCTTTCGCCTTCTCCCCCTCCTCCTTCTCTTCCTCCCCCTCTTTCTCCACTTCTCTTCCTCCTCCTCCTCCTCCCTCCTCCTCCTCCTCCTCCTCCTCCTCCTCCTCCTCCTCCTCCTCCTCCTCCTCTTCCTCCTCCTCCTCCTCCTCCTCCTCCTCCTGTTCGTCCTCCTTCTGTTCCTCCTCCTCCTCCTTCTCCTCCTCCTTGCGTCTTCCAGGGGTGCCAGGGCGAGGAGAGCGGCCTCTGGAGAAGGCAGGACGCTTCCGAGTTCCTCCCCAGCTCGAGCTCGAGCAGGAGATCGATTGCAGACTTCATCTACCCCAAACTTGGGTTTTTCGTCGAAGCTACAAAACAAGGACGTAGAGCGTTCGCGAAATTGCAACGTTTTTTATTCGCAGATTCGACGAGATTTCAAATCTGGGGTACATCGATTATGTAGTCGATCTCCTACCCGACAAGCGCTTCTCCTCGTCGGCAGCATGCTGCTGTCGCGGAATGCCCTCGCGGATCGCGGAGTGTTCCCCCGGAGCGGCGCGGAACAAAGAGGGCAGGGTGTTTGAAAGAAGGGACCGCACCCCAAAAAATCGGCAGCGAGCGAGGGGGGGAAGTGAGAAGGGGCGAGCCTTCTCAGACGGCTCGGAGTACCCCCGGCTTTCTGAGAAGTTTTCTAAACCTTTCCCGAAGACGCAGAAAACTTCTCAGAAGGCGCGACGGCTTCTGAGAAGTCCCTCCGCCTTCTGAGAAGGCCCTGTCCTTCTCACTTCCCCCCTCGCTCGCCGCCAACAAAAGCCGTGTGCCCCGGACCGTCTGAGAAGCGGGGGCGGGGGCCTCCTTCGGTGGCCGTCCCCCCCCTCCGCCCTGGCCCCTTTGGGTGCGCGCCGCCAGCACTTCCAGCGTGGATGTTGCGGGCGGTCCACGCTGTTTGAGGATGCAATCGGCGCCGCCCCAACATATCAGTGGGTGCGTCGCCCCCCCATGGGCGACGTGCGCGCGCCGAGAAATCTTATAGTATAAGCTCGTGGCGGGCGCTTCCTGGCCATACCGCTCGGGAAACGATCTACTACAAGATGCTTGTAATATATGTTCGGGTCGGACGCACGCCTCCGAGGAGGACGTATAGTACTAGTATATCCTTCTGCGTCCCATGCAAGGTTCCGCAAGTCGAGAGTCAGAGTTGATCAAATCAAGAACAGTGCCTTGCCTGTCCAGTTTCCGATGCGTTTGCTGCTGGTATTGCTGTTGCTCCTCATCGATGTTGTTATTGCCGCCGCTGCTGTTCGTATCATCCTCACCTTCCTCTTCCTTTTCCTCTGGCCAGCAGCCACTCTTGCTGCCGCCACCTTCCGATATGCCGCGCTCGTCCATGTCCGACGTTTATTTGTCTTATTGTTCTTACTGTCGACTGCCTCCTACTCCTCCTCCTCCTCTCACCCTCCCGCCTCCTCCTACTCCTCCTCCTCCTCCTCCTCCTCCTCCTCCTCCTCCTCCTCCTCCTCCTCCTCCTCCTCACCATCCCGCCTCCTCCTCCTCGTCCACCTCCTCCACCTTCTCGTCGACCGCCCCCTCCCCCACAACGGGGCCCCGACCTCCCAGCGCGCGCTCCGACCGGAGGCGGCGCTAGCCGTGGGGCGAGGGTCCCCAGGAGGCACCCCCGCGCCCAGAAGGAGATGCGAGGAGCGCCCACGGCCCAGAGGAGGAGAAGGTACCCATACCGCTACTTTTCCTCTGTTTTCCCCTTCTTGGGCCTCCTGGGCTGCCCTCGTCGCCACCGCTGGATTCGCCTCGAAATTCTGATCAGAACGCACCCCGGGAGAGGTCTGGGGCGTAGCGGTGTCGATACCTTTTGACTTCCCCAAAGGGTCCATCCATCCACCCTCCTTGACCTTCTGGGAATCCCGAGGGACCCGAGGCGGATCTGGCTGTAGGGGTAAGGGCCCCCAGGATGCCCCCCAAGAGGAGATGCGAAGAGCGCCGGGGCCCACCCGTCGCCGACCGCCTCCTCGACCGGCGTCCCTCCTTCCTACGCGCCATGCCTTAATGGGTACGGGCGGGCTCCCCAGCGGAGCGTGCACGTTCGCTCGCGACGGCCTCCTCGCCATGAACGAAGGGGTCCTGCGGGAACCGAGTTCCAGATTCAGGAGGGGAAAAAACACACAGACACAATTAATCGTCGATTCCCAGGAAAATATGGAAAAATATGGGAAGTGGTGGGGAAGACAAAAACCCAGAAAATATAGAAAAAATGGGGAATCTTTTTATTTGTGTGTATTTATTTGTGTGTCCCAGTTTCCCTTCACAGATCCCGCAGCATTCCCCTGGGCAAGCTCTTCACCCCGAGTCGTTCTTGTTGACGACCCCGAGGCGCGCGGAAGGCCACAGGGGGCCGACAAACGGCGAGAAACGTCCAGGATCCCCCTCTTCCTCCAGGACCCGCTTCCTTCACGGCCTCCTCCTCCTCCTCCTGCCGACTGCCGACTGCCGCCTGCACGCCGCAGCGCAGCGCAGACGCCGCGCGCGCGGCACGCCCCCCCCCCCCCCCCCCACACGGCGGCCGCGCGCCCCCCCGCGGCGCCCGCCGCCACGGAGGCCACCCGCGCGAGCGTGCCCGCGCGACTGCCGGCCACGACCGCCTCCTTCTTCTGGGGGGGGACGTCGTCGCCGCCGCCGCCGCCGCCGCCGCTGCCACCGCCGCCGCCGCCGTCGTCGTCGTCGTCGTCGTCGTCGTCGTCGTCGGCGTCGGCGTCGTCGTCGTCGTCGTCGTCGTCCTTGTCCTCTTCCTCCTCCTCCCCCTTCTCCTCCTCCTCCTGTTCGTCCTCCTCCTGCTCCTCCTCCCCCGCCTTCTCCTCAAGTTCTGTGATGCCTCCAGGCCCGACGGGATCCCCTCCCCTATACAGCCTATGCTGTTGCTGATGCGATTGGAGTTAGGATACTGTGCGACGTCTATGAGGACCTCTTGAGCCACGGTCAGTTGCCTCCAGAATGCAACCACTCTGCCCATGTGTTCCTCCCCAACAAAGTGGATCCTTCTCTGGAGGCCCAGACGAAGGCCCCTGACGAGACCCACCCGCTGTCTTTGAGCGACTCGAGCACCAAGATCCTCTCTTCTGCTTTAGGTTCCCCGCTGGCGAATCAGGCCGCACTCACTGTCATACAGGAGCAGCGCGGATGCATAAGAGACCGCCAGATTAACGGAGAACAATATGTATTATGAGGCCCAGCTTGCAATGTGGAGTGTATGCTTGGGCACAACAAATGCAGGCACGGCGCTGTTGGATTTCCGCGCTGCATTCCCGTCTCGAAGTCACTCTTTTATGTGGTGGGTCGTCGAGGTCATGCAAACTCCTTTCTATATCATCAGAGCCCTGAAGGCCTTCTATTGCAATGATATTGTTTGGCTATCCTTTCGTGGAGCTGCACATACGGGGTGCTGCATTCGGCGTGGGGTCAAGCAGGGGTACCCAGAATCTGGCAGCATTTTTTGCGCTGACCCTCGACCCCATCACCAGGCGCATCATGCACGCTCTTCTTGCCCCGCTGTCCTACCTCTCCATCTTTGTCGACGATATCAGTCAGGACTTCTCCCATATCATTGACGCACTCCTGGTCCTCTTGAAGAAAGTGAACGCTGCAGCTTTCGCGTGTGGGAGTCGAATTGCTCGTTATTGCGATGTTGCCCGAGACGAGATTATCGGGATGCCCCACGAGAAGGGGCTTCGTGGGTGCCGCCTTGAGTTCAGTAGCTTCGGTTAGTATCTTGGGGTCAGCAGAGGAGCGGATGGGCGGGAGTTCTCATTCGCGGAAAAATGCCAATAA